AACGTTTCAATATTGAGTTTGCGTATTATGTCTTATTGATTGGCTGAAATTTGAACGAAAGCAATTTAAGTTTATTTACATATTGGAGTGTTTACATAAAAATTCCAAAGTATTCAAAATATTCCTTACGAGAAGGTGAAAGGAAGAGAGCACTCGTTATATACGAAAATGACAAACAAAAGAATCTCGAATAACACTTGCTTCTCGCTTGTGAGAACGCGCTGTTAAACTAAGCCGTCGTAACATCTCGAAACATCGAAAAAAGCTTAAGTTCCTCCCTCTTATTGAGTGAAGCGCATTGTCTCCTAGCGGAAATACGTTGTAAAAAAGCTATGCCAAGCGTATATTGTGGCCGCGGTTACATTTTTCAAGCGTGAGCAAATCTTGACACACATATACACACATTGCCTGAACGTGTCGAATCAATGGGCCTAACGTGTCGTTAACCGCTCTTCATTCTACGAGCCGTTGCACTTGGTTGCAAGTCACGTCGATAACTCCTACACCTAATAAAGTACACTCGACGAGTATACGGCCGCCACTGAACTATACGAACAAAGACTTCCGATCGATCCTATCGCCAAGATACTTCTATCTCTTAACGAGCCTCCAATTCCTTTCGATTTTTTAGTTGCCTAATTGGCCCGATCGACTGACAATTTACTCCTCTCTCTCTCTCTCTCTCTCTCTCTCTTGTAGGGGAAAAGAATCTTACGAGCGGCTGAATGGTTTAACTTATAAATAATGAAACAATTAGTGGGACCAAGATGTATAACGATGGGTTAACAAGATAGGGTCTAACAGTAAACGTTTAATATTTTGTTTATTGTCTTGTAAAATTCATCCAAATAATGGTATAGAAGAGAAATTTTTTTTCTCTTAAAATATTCGTAAAAGATTTGAATTTTTTTTTTTTCGTTCAAAAATCTTATTTCTATATCCAACATTTTTTATTGAAAAATTTAGCTTTGCCATGCTTTTCTAAAAATATTAGTTAGAACGAAACTTGTTTTGCGAGGGCTTATTTTCTTTGTTAAGATTTGTGCTCTGGATTGAGCAGAGCTATCTCGGAAACGTTATTTTTCGATATTTTTAATCCAGTTTTGCGAATTGTATAAAGAAAGTCTGAAAAAGTAGGAATGGTTTTACAACTTCCAATATGATAGTAAAAAATATATAATAAAAATGGTAACGTTATGGATTATAATCGAATTATAATTTTAGGACATTTAACAACAATAAAAAAATAGAAAAAAGAAATTCCACGTCAATATCATTATTAACGCAATTTGCACACAATTAAGAAAGTTCGAAGTCTTCACTGTTAGATCCCATCTTGTTCTCTTAATAAGTTATGTTCAAGGAAAAAATAATCTAGAATTGGTTATTAAAAAAGTACTAGAAAAGTAAAATAAATAAATAATAAAAAACAAGCTAGAATTGGATACTTTAGTACTGACTTTTCTTTTACGGCGGGGCAGGTCTTAATAATAATCATCCTTCCACGGGCGTTAATCAAGAAAAATTGACTGAATTTTGTATCGTTGCAGTTTAATACCATGGTAATAAATTTTCAGCAACTGCTGGGTCGGCAAACTGTGCTCCGCTTTTTTCTTTACTTTCTTTGTCGTTTCATAATTGAAGAGCTTTTGTAGGGTACTCTGTAGCAATGTCATCAGTATTGTTAATTTCTCATACATTATTCATTTTATTTAATAGTAACGTAGGGATGTAAATATTAAACGATTAATAAGGAATGTAAAGTTTGGACAGCAAATAATGTTATTGATGATTCTATCGAGCATTTTAATTGAAAATTTCAAAATATATTCATTATTGACCATTTGAAATATGAATATCCTCGCTGCTGTTGAATAACTATTTCAGTCGACAAATGTTTACGAAAATATATTTTATTGCCATGCAATAGTAGTGCAAAGACGTATATCTCGAAATCTTTGAGAAAGAATATAAAATCTAAAATATTGTTCCAATATTAACATTTATATCGTGTAACGCACAAACAATTCTATTTGAAAACGTCTAAAATATTAAAATTAATTTACTATTATACTTTTGAAATATGTCATATCTATTCTACTATTGCATAATCATTGTATTGAATAAACAATTCCTCACAGAAAAAACAAATATAAATATATGTCAATAGTCTAGAAACAACGAGCAGTTTAAATAATAAATTTTTACTTTTTTCTTATTCCGTTTCAACGGATTTATGAAAATTTAAATTGTCCCAGCCATTATAATAATCGATACGTCTCGTCATCGTATGTATATTTCAAACGAATCAATGAGAAACATCCTTGTCCTCGCGACCTGCATTTGACGACATGACAAATTGATAACTTTATTCATTCCTTTTATTTATCGTCACACCAAATCATGCAGTTTCGTGTATTCACGATTCCCATCGTATCGACCAATAAAAAAAAAAAGAAAAACACAACGCCAAATTCATCGTTTACTTTAGCACGGTGGCTAAATAAATGTTTCGAATTTCGTTTTCTCTCTGTTTTTCTGTTGTTCCGTTTTACGCGAGGCGAACGTAAACTCGCGAGAACGTATTATCTCTGAGCAAGAGGTAAGAAAATTGCGAGCTATTGTTTCGTATTCCCGCAGTAGTGAGCAGATAGATGAAAATAAGGCATAACAAAGCGGATATTGAACTTTCGCGGATCGGTTGAGCGAAAAGCGAGTGCATACAGGCAGGAAAGAGCCGCTTATCAAATGAGCGCTGCTGAAAAACACTTATCTTTCGCACAGAGCGTCTTCGAGCATTTATACTCGCACATCGATGTGGCTTATTAATAATTATAACAATAACGTCGTAGTAGTCGCTTTAGAAATTTATTTTTAAACGCACTCGGCCCTTGTTGATCATTTTCTCCTTATCCCTGACTGCCTCTCTCTCATTCTCTTTCTCTCTTCCTTCCGTCGTTGGTAGCGCTGACCTAATTTCCCCGTGGCACAGTGCGCGCGCCGCGCGCGCCACACAGGGAGAAGAGAGAGAGAGAGAGAGAGAGAGAGAGAGAGAGAGAGAGAGAGAGAGAGAGAGTAAAATATGGACCTCACCGCCGACGTTGCTGCCTCTACTGTTACTGAGGCCGTGTGACGACGGCTTTTTTCACACATTTCCTAGAGAAAAAGAAGAAGACGAGTATAAAACTGGAGGGTGCGTATTAAGTCGCCTGGAGTCTTGTCATTTGTGCGATAAGACTCTTCTGTCTACTCTCACAGTAAACAATAGATATTGTTAATGGGAGAATGTCGGAAAGTTTTTGAGATATAGATTGCCTTGAGCTTTTTGATTAATTAACACGGGACTAGAGAACGCGGTGATGAATTGAACTTTCGTAATATATGTTTGAGAAGGGAAAAATTACTGGAAATACGATAGTAATTTATCATTGGCGATGGATGTCAGAGATAATTGCATCGTTATTACTGATTAGCAACTATCGCGATGTTGAATTGATTCATTGCGGTACTTGTGAAATCATTGGAATTTTCATAATTTTGTTGCCACACGCCTGACATAAAACGATTGATACTACTTGACGCTGTTGCATTTAACATTTCCAGTACCTTCGACTTAATTTAAGAGATTCTGTGTCCCTTGAGTGAAAGAAAAACAAGTTTCTTTCAGTTTTGGGAATGAATGATGTAACATGCAAGTCTTTCAGCAATAATTAAAAAAACAGACGAGTTACTAATCGCGGTCGGATACACTTTTGGGACACACTTATTTCGAGACATAAGCTCTCGGCTTTAAGGTAACCGAAGTGGTGTAAAGAAACTAACTAGACGTGCAGGGCTACTGATCCGCGAGGGATTAAGTGAGAGAGAGAGAGACTCTTTTGCTCATATAAGACTCTCTCCAAGTCTTGCGCTCGCTCTCGTCGAGTGCTTCCGTTTTTGCGGATTAACGATTCACCGCTGCAAATGGAAGTACTTCTTATTTATCTAAAGATGAAGATGAAAATGGAGAGTAAAAGAAGGAATTCGATATTTCCGCTGCAAAGACAAATACTCATAGGAGCGTGCAAGCTGTAGTGAAGATGATGACATAGCCAAGGAAATTTCCGACTGGGATTAGCGACTTGAAAGCGGCAGACTACGGGTAGTGACTTCTTGAAACTCACTCCGCGGAAACTAGTGGCCTTGTGGCTTTCGCTTTGTCTCTCCTACTTCTCTTTTTTTATTCTCTTCTTTCTCCCTCGTCACTTTATGTATTCTCCTCCCTCGGTCTCGCTTTCTCTCGCCACGTGCGAGTGGAAGCTGCGCGAATATTCGTATATTTTCACTTTGCTCTTCGTATTTTGCCTTTTTTAAGGAGATCAGGGGAGTGAGCCTTATATATTGCGTCGCATCGTCCCTCGTTCTATATTTTTTCGGGCTATCAGGCTACTTGAATATTCCTGCGGCAACCAACTCAATATTTTCAAGTGCCTCGTGGCTCGTAATGAGGTGATGAATGGACCGTTGTAAAGTGTGCCTTGAACAGCTTGCTCTGTATTTATATAGAATTTTCCAAGTTTGCATTTTATGAGAAATTTATTTCTTTTTCGTTGTTTCAACGATTACATTCGTTGTAAAAGTCTGATATTTAAAAATAGTGGATTGTATAATATGTTTCTTGAGTATAAATTTGCATGAAGGTACCAATTCGATTAATTGTTAAAAATAATCGATAAATACACGAGTGTCTCTTGAATGTTTCGATATACACGAAAACGTTGCACGTATACAATATAGTTTCTTAGATGAGTGTTAAGTAGTTTCGGTCGATATTACGATCTAGTAGTTAGTAAGCGTGTTGATGTAAACATCAGAATTAGTATTAGTAGCTACATCTACAAATTGGATCAGTTGTAAATCGCTATAGAACTAATCACCTGTGTAACTCGATAATAGATCTGCATGCTCCGCACGTATCAGCGAACCATACGCATACTTACTTGTTCATTATTATTTTTCAGGACGAGAAAAATCAGCTGCTCATCACGAATCTTTGGTTGAAGCTGGTGAGTTGATAGTCATCGTTTCCACTTGCTCTTAATTGTGATAGATGCATTGCCTATCCCCTCGCAAACATTGTACGTTGATTATATCTGACAATGATTGATTAAGTTTGAACAAAGCCTCATTATACGTCACGTTTGAAATTAATTAACACCGTGGCAAAATATTGACGTTACATCAAATTTGGCAGTTATTAAAGTGAATTACGAAACTTGCAGCGATCGGCTATTCGAAATGAAGCCAATCATAAAGAGAAAGTTTTAGAGGTTGATGCGAAACGGCGAGGACGCGATACACCATTCAATATCTAAGAATCGGATAACATATTTTATCGATACGTGGGCAACAGGTATCAAAGCCTGGCTTTAAATTGGATTTTTTTTAAATTAAGCCACATAAAACATAAAATATAGCTGTACTATAAATCAACATACGAACGATGCTGCAGCTCTAAAAATTTACTTTTGCTGTTGTGATAAAAAGAATTTTTTAGTTGACACAAAGCCGGTTATCAAATTTATTGTACGTTTAAAAGTGCCTTCTTTACTTCACGACAAAGAGAAATGATATTGCTGTTAGTAGCTACAAGAGAAAAAGTGACTGTTAAAAAAAAGTAATAAAAGCTCAAATAGTGTTAAAGGGATAAACAATGTACTGGTAATATGAAACATCAAACTGTGATACACGACAGAAAAGCGTTTAGAGTGACGGGGCTTAAGCGAGATTTAAGAATGATGTCAAGCAGCAAAATGTATCTCTCTTGTATCGGCTATGTTTACAACTTGATGTCGCTGGTTTGTGAGCGCGCCTCGGTGTCGATAACAGAGCTGCCTACGGCTTTGACTATACTAGAACACTTATCCTCAAGAGAGTAATTGCCTCAAATTACACGTTGCTCCCGAGCTTGAGACTAGCAGTCTCTAGTAAAGGCCACTGTTTATTTAACTTAGTCACTGAGATTCACCCTGACGTTGATGAAGTTTTGGTCAAACAATGCCTTTTATGCTTGTTTGTACAGCGGTCATTTTCTCGGTACTTGACTTTATTGCCATCGTGAAAATGGGTCTCGCGAGATTTTGTGTTTTTTCTTTAAACTTGTAAGAATATTTTATGAGATTGAAAATAACTGTTAAAATTTGAGATCAATAAAAATAAATTTACGCGGTTAAAAGAAAGAAGTTATTGCTAAAAACGATGTATTAGATTCGGCTTTTCAAACAAATATATTTTTTAAAGATAATACAAAAAATCCCATATTGGCTACACGGAATATTAATTAACATTAACATTTTTGGTAAAATATTCTTTATTTGCCACAGCCCTAGATAATCATGTATGTTGTCAATTTTAATATAATATTTTTTTTCGTTAGTAGCATAAAACCAATGTTTGACCAAATAGTTTAACGTATTAAAACTTTAAGCAGAATATTCATTATTCGCGAATATTAATAGTAAATAAAAGATTGGATTCAAATGTTTCGACAGAAAAAAGTTATTTAGATATCAAAATTCACTGAATTTCATATGTAAATTGTTTAATAAAGAAAGTTACTTTTATTGAATTGCGGTTGATTCATGTTCATCAAATGCCGAAATAAGTTGAGCTTTATACGTTATTATAAGTTGAACAATAAAAATGAAGAGCCGGTAGTAAAATACATTTTAATAAGTGTACGTTAGCAGCAATTAATTTTTTCAATTAAATTATTATTAACTTACGAAGTACTACGAAAATAATGAGTAATTTATTTTCACCCATTAAAATATTTATAATACGCACCTATTGCGTTATTTTCGGCATTGAGCTTCATGCAAATCTATTAGCTTTGATTCGTTATCAAGCAAAAACAATGAAAATAAAAATACCAATTAGTTTTTTTTATTAAACGAGTATTAGTCTGTGAGAGATGCTATATTATTCAATAAAAAAAAATTTGATAGTTCCATTAAAATTTTCAATCAATGTCGAATGTGACATGAAACGTAATTGCGTTGAAAAGTGAAAGACTCGCACTGAATTCGAAAGAAATCTCAAGAGAGAGAGAGAGAGAGAGAGAGAGAGAGAGAGCGAGAGATAGAGCATTTGTTGAACGCGGGCGAACGATGAAAAAGAGCAGAAATTTCACCACATTTGTACGGCAAAGACAAACGTAAAGTTAAAGCAGCAGAAAAAGGTAGTAGAAAAATAGCGTACAGTAGTAGTTTGTAGCACGTGCGCCGCGTAGCGAGCGAGAGGTGAGAAAAATAGCCGGCACGAATTTGATCAAATTTTAGAGCCGAAGCTGGAGCTCTCTGAAACCGTTAGGTGATGTACGTACGCGTCTGTGTGCGAAGTTGGATAGAAGTCAGTTGATATTACCCCTCGTGCCGATTGTCGTGATCGTTATGTCCCAGACACGTTTACGATGTCGCGCGCTCGTAAAACTGCGCGGGGGAATGCGCGCGATTAGGATTCCTCGAGTTCTCTCCGGGTCGGCTGCGCGTGCGGCACACAGCTGCAATAGCCATGCCGACATCGTTGCTCGCCACCACTGGCGCACCGCGCCGCCGCGGGGCGATGTAATCGAAATCCTTGGGATTCCCGATTGGCCGTCGCCAACGTGACGACGGCGGAAAAACTCAAGGAGGAATTATTCGCGCGCTCAATCCTCGAAATCTTGCGCCATCGTCTGGAAAGAGAGCGAGGGAGTTTGCTCAGAGGAGAAAAACTTTTGCGCTGAATGAAGTGGCCTAATTAAACGAGAGAGGCCACGATTGAATTTCGACTACTTTCGCGCCTTTTTCTTCGTTTTCTTCTGTTGCCGCTCCAGCTCTTTCCGAGTAAATAGAGCTTCTATCGATTTTTCTGATGCTGATAGTTGTTTCAATGTTTTTCTTTCTTTCAAGCGAGATTAGCTGCGCCGAAGCTAACGCGCTCTCGCGTCAGGGGAACGAGTAGAATCCAATTTTTACGATGAAATTTCTATAGGGCTTTGATGAAGGATTTTCTCTTGGAAAGCAGTGAATTGTGGTATCCGCCGTTTCAATGATCTTTCGGGTCACACGCTTGACAATACAGAGGAACAACCTGTTAAACATTTTATAGCGACTGAGCTTGTACTGGTCGGACCAATATAAATTTGACATTATTTCGGAAAACATCTACTAGCTTCTTTAAAATTTTTCAATTCGACAGATAGCCGCAATGTTATCAGAATCAACAACGTACAATGTTTATTCGTCAAACGCAAAACGGTACGCGTCGGCGCTGAATTTCACAGTTAGCTGAAGTCGGCCAACTTGACGTTTTAAGCGCCTCTGGGTTGAGAAAGGGGATGGGGTGTAGGGGAAGCACTCCACTTCGGTATGTTATAGTGCCTCTCCTCACTCCGCGCAGCTGTCCAAAGTAACGAGCTTGTAATGCAAAATCGACATTTCCTGCAGGAATGGAATGACGTTAACATGGTGTGGGACCCTTCGAAGTACGGCAACGTTCGGGACTTGAGGATACCACCGCATCGTCTCTGGAAGCCCGACGTCCTCATGTACAATAGGTAAGTCACAAACTGCTTCTCTTCCTCTTCTTCGTCTTCTTCTCCTTTGTTTGCCGAGACGTTCTCGCGCGGTAACTATAAGGAGTATACAAATTGCGAGAATTCTAAGATGAATATTCATGTGACATGTAGCGAAGGAGAAAAAAAGAGGCAAGCTGGCTGCTCCTGAGGATTTTAATATTTATGGGCCTACGAGAAGTGTGAGCTCTCGTTTAAAAGCTCTCACATAGATACGGTTTGTTTTCATCCTAGGGAAAGAGGGGATTTGCATCTTAAACAGTCCTAGCTGGGGAGGGGGGGGGGGGGCGAGTAGAAAAAGAAGCTTATCAAACGATGATGTACGGCCGTGAAGGAATTAGCCTGATCGCAAAAACTTTCCTCTTCTCTTACCGCAGAGTAATCGAGGTCCTTCTGAATGAGCTTTTTTCACCATTTCCCTCTTTTACTTTTTGCCAGTAGCAGTCGCTCGGCTAATATCAGGGGATTTCTTTTATTCGGCTCGCAAGCCGTACGTCCGTGGGGTGCACAATGAGGCTTGAACGCTCTCCACGCGAGACTGTGATGACTCGTCCGAGCGACGACGACGGCGCGAAAATTACAATTTCGCCTGACGAGGGATTTGCTTTTTTACTGCAAGCGCGAGCACGCGGTATTATGACGACGCCGAGCGTGCATTCTGCATCGATTGACCTAAAAATGTTTTTTTGTTGGGGGGGGGGGGGGGGGGGCAGGAACAAAAAATTTTTTTCTTCAAGTTTGCAATATTTAAGCTTTTTTTTTTAATGGATATCATCTTTTTCTTTTGTTTTGTTTTAACAGAATGAATAACGCAAATATTTGCCTACAACATTGTTATTATGTGATATTTTTCGCTTTTTAATGTGGGCTGTTACGTGGTATTTGAAATTTTGAATAATAGTTCGTTTACAGTACGATAAATCCATTCCAGATGTCCAAAGATGAAAATTTCTTTGTTGTGATACTTTTCGCAGAAAGATAACGATTCTCGGTTGAACGAAAAAAACGAACTTTTATCACGTAACAATATCAGTTATTACTATGATCGGTCATAAATTCTATGTCAATAGGTTAGTAACATTTACATTGCCAAAAAAAAAGTTTGATAACCATAAACAATTGTTTTATTTGTTTTTTATTTAATTTATATTTAACAAAAATTAAAAAATAAATTACACGCCATTTATTATTCACACATAAATTGTCAATTAACTATAACTTTATCCATTACAATGTAGAAAATGCTACAACTTCTTTTATAGCTGAAACAAGTATGTGGGCGTCTAGAATGGAAATGAGATAAAACATAATTAGATTTGAAGAAAGATAAGTTGAATGTAATCTGAGACTGAAACTGAACCACAAATGTGTGGAGCTTGCTATTTGATCAGATTTGAGCATTTAAAGCAGAGCTGTTGACGTGAAACGCCAAAACGATTTTCAAAAGTGCTCGTGGAGAATCGCTACAGATTAAATTGCTAGATAAAAAGTAGTGCTCGACACACCTCACTTTAGAGGAAGAAAAATGTGAAAGTTCTCTCTCTCTCTTTCTCGTGTTCCTACCTCTAGCGTCAGTTTGAAGTCTCGACGTATTTCGTAAAAATCGCATTTTTACATCAACTGCGAGGCTCACGAAAGATGTCTCTTGGTCCATTAAGTTGGCTCTTTCTTCACTGTCGTCGTATCGAGAACTTTTGTGACTTTTCTCTCTCTCTTTCTCTCTCTTGCTCTATCTGTCGTTCGTAAAGTCTCTATGTGCTGCATTTTTCGACGCGTCAACTGCTAAGATGACAAATCCGAATTTTCCAACTCGTATCTCCAAGTTATCTGTCAAGCTGATTCGCGAAAATATTTTTCCATTGTAGTTTTACACTCCTCTCAACAAACTTTTCTCTTATTTCATCAGTACTCGAGAGAGAAAGAGAGTGTGTGAGAGAGAAATGCTGTTTTCAAAGTACAGACAATCTGTGATCTATAGTTTGCTTGTCGATACAGTGGTGTAAATTCTGTCACGAATTCGTAGCATTTGATTGAACATGTTTGCTGTTTGCAGAAGCTTCAGTTTAGTTATTCGCGAGATTAGAATTCACGTTTTATTGGTTAAGTTAATCAGTCGGTTCGCCGATCTTAAAGTTGGACGTAAATTATGTAAAAGCACACGCTATAGGCGTACATAGCTGGAGCACTTAGGTGATGTGCAAACTCAGCGGGCTCGAAGCATAAATATTGGATATACGTAGCGTGCGGAAGAAGGGGGCACGTTGGCTTAGTTCGCTCGTGTTCAACAAGCAAAACACGTTTGTCAGCGCCAAGTGCCAAAAGACGCTGGAAATCGGAGAGCAGCAGCTGCAACCGCGAGAACGAGTAAGAGAAACTGGCGCGTGTAAAACGCAAAAGAGGTCGAGATCGCATTGCGCTTCGCCCGGAAAAAGCGCCAGAAAATTCGAAGCTTTCCGCGTGGAATTTTTCGTCGAGTCAGGACTGTGTATGTGTAGTCCGCTACATGTGCATAAGCTCGGAGAGAAGAATGTGATTACTCTGTCGTCAAAGAACTCGGCCGAAAGGAAAAATGTCGGACGATGTAGTGAGCCGTTCTCTTCGCGATATCAATTTCTACCTCTTTCGAGATTAAAAGAAAATCCACTACACGTGTCTCTTCCTTTGTATACACGTCTGTATAGGCTCGGGAAGTTACTTCAATGGCTTACTTATACTTGTATCCGTACTTTTTTACCTCGTTGATTTTCGATTTGTCGCGCACAGCTATCTGGCTTTTTTTTTCTTTGCAACCTGTAACCTAACCTTAATATTAACCTTTGCGTTATCTCGTTTCTTCCAAGATGCCTCGATTCATTTCCAAACCCAAAGCAGATGCTTCGTTGTGATTAATATTCAAGGGATGCAATAATTAAATCCCACTGTAAACCTATTGTGCTCTTGATTTATGCATGGAAATCGTGAACTCTAGGCGAGTTATGTTGGCTTTCCGTGGAGCAGTGGTTTAGGCTTTCTTAGCGGAGACGCAATGATATTATAAGTTCTCGAGCGTCATTTTTATTTATTCAACGAGACATTTTTACAGCTGTCATGTTCAAATTCACGATATCTCACTGTGCATCGTCGATATTTGCATGTAACAATCATTCGATAGGGTCATCGAATCACGCAGTCAAATGAAAATTATTCTCCTCCAAGCTATTGCAATTTTAATTTGCCAGATGATGAGAAATAGGGTTTAAAGTCTGAAATATCCAAAGCGCCAAAGCGGCAAAGTTAAAATTATCCGAATGAAACACCGTAAAATCGAGTAAGACCGTACCCGTATCGGAAAACTGATTTCAATATCAACACATTTTTTTTATTATGTTTGGGATCGATCGATGACCTATGCTTCAAATTTCTTTTCCCCTATACCTCCGATAAATTATTGACCACAGGGATGTTTTTAATAATTTTCAAACAGCTAACATAAGACAGGAGTCAATAGGCCAACTGTGGCGCCAACTTAACTTTCGCTCTCGAAGTCAATATACACAAAATGAAAGGTCGTGAGCTTTGGCGCGTGAATATTAAAGCACTTAATCTCGCTTTTGCGTTCACGAGAGTTAAAATGGAAAAGTTACGGCGCGATTCTCTTTCCAAGTGTCAAAGCGACAGCTTGAAATTGTGCGTGCCTACGTGTTTTCCTTTGCACGTCGATTAATTTTAATGCCATACTTGCTCGTGTGCAATGACTCCCAATGGTATTCAACGCCAAGCCGTTTCCTTGTTTTTTTTACGTAATAAATTTTGTAATTCATCAACCGGTCGTATGCTGCTGCTTTTCGTAACGTTCACATGCTTGCTGGTATTCATTTAGTGTTACGGTGTGCACGCGAGCACAACAATGTAGCATTTATTTTCTGCGCCTAACGAGATAAATCAATTATATGAAAGCTTTTATAGCCATAAATTTTCCATCCATGTTTGTTCGCATGCAAAATTTTAATGCTCATTTACATTCATTTGAAAGAGGAGAGAAACAAATTCTCATGAATTTATATTGACTTTAACGTTGTGTTTCTTTGGCTATCTTTTGAATTTATATTAAAGGTCTATCTAAACATTGACTTTTCTATCAATTTTAATGAGTAAACTTTAAAGTTTATTTTCGAAGCACATTATATAATTTTTTGTAATCTGTCTAATTCTTGAAGTACCGTCATCGTATTTACTTATCTTTACTCTTGTTAAAGTATAACAAATAGGTGTAATTTAAATTTGAATCCCTTTGCTGGAGAAAGATTTTTATAAATTTTCGTAGGTATATTAAATAATGAATAGAGATCACTCGACTCGCAAATATCATTTCCGTGATCCTGCTTACAAAGTCCTAAAAAATTGACAGTGAGGTCTAATTCAAAATGAACCATAAATATTTGTAACCAAAACAGTGTCTTTGTTAAGTGTGAGTAATCGTTCAATTTTCTACTAGTAATTAAGGGATCAAAGAGTTGACAATGACCTTTTTAAATTCCAATTTCAATTTTAAAAAAAGCATACCGAATGGGTAAAAAAACAAGCCTGTAGCTATTTACGTGGAAACGTTAAGATATACGAATGAAATGGTTGTTTCAATAATAAGACATGCACGTGAAATAGGGATTTACTCAGAAAGAAGACTTCTCTCCTTGGATCTTTGTCGAGCATGAATTAAAAATCAGAGCGCGGGCAATAAATTTGAAATCCTCGCGCGCGCTTGCTTTCGAGCTAGCTCGCACGAAGATGGATACATCCGTTTCTCGCTTTCTCTCTCTCTCTCTCTCTCTCTCTCTCTCTCTCTCTCTCTCTCTCTCTTTCGCTCCCACAGAGACAGAATAATAATGAGTTATATATAGGCTGCTAAAAAAAAAAGCAACGTGCGAGGAGATGAGAAAAGAAAGAGAGCGAACAATTTATTTAAGCTAAAATGAAAAGACAAGAGAGAGAGAAAGTATATAGTA